ATTTTGGAAAAATCATGCAACTTGTCACTTGAAAATTTAATAGTTTTAGAATTGGAGTAATTTTTTTTTTATAAACAGGAATGATAGATGAATACTAAGGAAGTCAAAAGTAGGTTAGGAAATTTTCAAAATTCACTTTGGAGAAAATAGGTAACTCGCTTGGAAGTTTAGTTATTTTAGACTTCTGCAACTGGTGACATTGGTTCTAGTTATTTTCAAAATTGTCATATTCTCTCATTTAAAATTGTTCTTAAATACAGAAAAGGACAATGTATTCACGCCCATCTTAAAAAACATGTGCTAATTCGCAAAAGGACACCTTTAAATTACATGCAATTTTCAACAGACGAAAGCCACTTTGATAAGCTTGGAATCTACTTCATGTGACTTAGCCAAAATGGATCGATCCTGTGAATTTAGGTGCACTCCCCCTAATCATAATATCTTCACTAGATTTCTCACCAAAAGACAAAAGAACAAATTGGCCCATAAATTATACGTCAACAGTATTTGGAATCTTAAACTCATTTTTTATATAATATTTTTCTTCAACTTTTAAAAATAGTGTAATTAAATCTCTTCTATTAACAAATGTAATATAAAAGGACCTCACAATTTATAAAAAAGGACCAATAAAATTTTCTTGATCAATGTCTATAATTTTAGTGTCATTGTCTATAATTTTTAAGTTCTTTATTGTAATTTCTAAGATCCTTTTTTATTATTTTTCGGTCAACAATCAGAGTTAACTTTTATTAATTATAGAAATCAGATTATATTACACAATTTTAAAGTTTGTTGAGAAATGTTACACTAAAAAGTTATCATCTTTAATGTTGTAGAGCAAATAACCCTTTTGGCTACTATATGATATCTTAAGAATATACATGGTTGAGATCTAGGTTGAAATAATTTATCTACCCCTAATGTCTTAGCAAAAGTTAAACACCCAGAGATTCGTAAATGATTTAAATCTGATTGTTTATGTACACTATTTCATAGAACGTTTGTTAATTAATGGCCTTTGAGGGGTTCTATTGATGAGGTATGTGGCAGTCCGTACACTATCTCCACCCACTAGCATATGTCTCTGTTTTCTCTCAACTATTATGTTTTGTTGAGGGGCATAAGAACAAGCGATCTCATGAATAATTTAATTATCTAAAAATAAGTTGTCACATTTTTATTGTGGAATTCAATACCATTATCACTACAAATCCCTTTAATTTTAGCAGAAAATTGATTTTATACATATATAAAGAATATTTTTAGATAATAGTTAGAAATCTTTATTTTTAGTAGTCATCAAATATACCCATGTTGCATGGGAAAAATAAACCACGATAATTAAAAAATAGGGAGAATTGCATTTAAGTCCCATAAGGTCTAATAATAACTGAATTAAGGTCATTGAATTGGCTTTAGTTCAGATGTTAATGGATTTTATGGTAATTAATTTTTTTATATGAAACCTTAGTTCAATTGTTAATGAATCTTGTGATAATTAATTTTCTTATATGAAACCTATATGTAATTTCCTTTTATAGGGTTCCCACACATCCACATGTAATAGATCAAAACAAGATACAAAATTAATTTCGCTAATAGTAAAAGATAAATGAGGTTACTTTTCTTGCAAACAAATGTCACAATTATTAGAGGGAGAGTTTCATCTAAGGATCAAAAAGAGAAATATTTACCAGTGGGTCCAAAAAAATCTAAAAATTCTATGCTGGTTTTTTTAATCACATAGAAAAAACCAAGTAACTGATCGAAAGATTTATTAATAATATAACTTTACTTGTTAACTATAGAATATGACTTATTAACTACTTAACTTTACTTGTTAATTAGTAACTCCTTAAAATTGACTACATTGCTTGTTAATTTTTTAACTTTACTTGTTAATTCTACAATAACAGTTGTTAATTTTGTAACTTAACTTGTTAATATAGTGATAAAACTTGTTTAATTTGTTGATATGAAAACAACTAAATTATTTATTAATCGTATAATTTTACTTGTTATTACTCAATAGCACTAGTTAATTCTCTATCGTCACTTATTAAATGACACTTGATATCTTGTTTAACATCAAATTTGTAACAAATTCATTACTTGTAAAATTATTATCTTAAATTGTAAACTGAAAAATATTACTTGTTAACCAAATAATATTACTTAATAATGCTTGGTAGGGATTAGCGAGTAAATTTAACTAGTTAACAAGTCTTGTTATGTAGTTAACTAGTGAAATTACATGATTAATAAGTCTTTTGATTAGCTGTCTTTTTTCTTTTTTTTGCATAAAGCAATTTCGGTCTTTTTAGCCAACAACTTTACTTCAATTCAGTCCAAAGAATTTGTAGTGAATTTTCAGAATTTTGTTTGGGACCCATTGACAAATATTTCTTTTTCTTGGTCCTTAGTTGAAATTCTTCTTTTATTATATTACTTTCAACAGATGACAATTGATCTTTTAATGAAGCCAAATGTCTAATTAAGTACATTGTAATTAAGATGCATAGCCTATCCTAAAATGCCAAAAGCTCAGTCATTGAAGCAGTATGACTGTTAACAAGGACTATAGTTTCTTCCATTATGCAAAGCATATATTCTATTTTACCAATCACATTCATGCTTTTTTCGGCCATTAGGAATATGATTTGTAAAGGAGGACCAGTATATTTGTATTCATCAAGGTAATCTAAAGAACTGACAACATGACTAGTGGCCCCAGAATCTAATAACCAGTGTGCCTTATTTGTGTGTCCTAAAGGCAAAATTGTGAGTCAAACCTCAAGACTGATCTGAGTCATTAGCAGTGACAGCCCCAAAACTATAACATACTTGGCTTCCTTCGTCAATAATTTGAGGATACTTTCATAGTCCTGCTAGAATAAAAGTTATAATTCTTGCTAGACAAGATTTGCATGTTCATGATAGACAAATGGATAATATGAAGAAGAGATCTTGATGGAACTAGGGTTTCAAAATGGGTCGGGTCTGAGCCTATTGGATCTGATACAAAAATGAATAATACCTCTTATTAAACCATTAGGCTGGCAAATGTTAAGCTTCAATATCGAAAAACAAAATTACTCTGGGCTTGCCTATGCAACACAATATTCCATCAACCCAATAAGCCCAATTACCCCAAAACCATTTAAGAAAAGAAATATAAGAAACTATTAACTAACTAATATCTTCCCCAGACAGATTTAGTTGTTGCACTAAACATTCATTATTTGAAAAATTTAAGTAATATTGTGTTTTTTATAAAAAAAATTTCGCCAAATATGTTTTTTTGCTGGTTTAATATCACATAGTATAACGTAAGAAATTTGAAAAATATGAGAAGTTATCATGCTGAAATGGATTCTTTTACACACACATTGATGGACGTGCAAAACAGGTCAAGCAGGCTTTTATGATTTAGGTCAAAATTGAATTTAATGATTTAGGTCAAAACAGGTCAAGGTTTTTAAAAATACAGATTAATCCGTATAATAGAAGCTAAGGATAGATAATTTGAACTTCATAGTTGGTTGAGAAGCTAAAATAAAACATTGTGCACATGTTAACAAGAAAAGAATAATATTCAGAAAAAAATTGAATTTTGAATTACTCTAATCTGTTTCATTTTTATTACTATATATTATAGATTTTGTAAATTGTAAATTAGCTACATTTTTTAACCTAAAATCTTATCATTATCACACATTACAAGGGATATGGAATTACTTTTCCTTTTTTTATTATTTTTTTTTCATCTGATCTCTATTAATTAAATTGGGATGTTTTATTATTATGCTTAAATAAAAGTTAAAGGATTAACTACGCTTATATTTATTAGATGAAATTACAAAATTAAAATAATTTGCATTATTTACCATTGTAATTAATACAAGGAATCAAGGGGTGTTTAATCAGGTCAACTAGTTGAGGAAGTTAAATTAGGTTATCATAAAATCTCAAGTTCAAATAATGAGATATGCAGTCACGTTAAATAAATTTGTCAATGCGTGGCATTCCCAAAGCACCAGTAAGGTCACCGTGGATAGTAAGGGTCCCATATAGTGGGAGTTTGGATTAGCTAGGACAAGAGGTTATAATGCTCAGGTTTCTCAAAATATTGATTGATGGAATTTAAAAAAAAAATAATACAGGGCCCCAAGATCTAGTTGAAATAAACATATATGATCATCCATTGACATTCATGTGTATTAATTGTAGAGCCGGTCGTTAATTTTGTCTTCACATAGAAAATTCGTTAAATATACGATATGCGGGGTGTTCCTTTTGTTTCTTTCATAATTATTTCCTTTCTTTACGGGGAAAAGTCTTTCATCTCGTTTTATTTTTAATCCTCGTAATTTTTTTCAATTTTTTTAGTTTCTAAAGTTTCAAAAAAATTGGATGACATTTGTTTTATAGGTCCCTATAGTTTTCATTCTTTTAGTGATTTTAGTTTATATAGGGATTGAAAATATTAAAAAAAACTACAGGGCCTAAAAATAAAATTTCTATAAAACTATAGGGACCAAATATTATAGTTTCCTTTCTTTCTATAATATTTTATTTGGAAAAATTACAATTAGGGATCTATGAGAACATTAATGACAATTCAGGGATTCAGGGTCTCTTATTGTCATTAATATTCTTATGGGATAACAATTATTTTCCCTTTTTTTTTAATTGAATAACCCTTCACTAACCTTGTTTTTGATTTTGATGATAACAAAATATACGAAAAACATTTTAAATTACTTATGATTTAGTAATTTATTTATAGAAACAAGTATCAAATTTCATTTGATTGGAATTATTTTCTTGTCGCAGATTTAGACAAATTTTAAACAAATTATGGAATATTAATGGACGACAAATTATGAATAAATTATGACCTATTTTTAAACTGCCCTTGTTTCATCACTAATCATCTATCTTATTTGAACTTAATCAAGTTATATAAAATAGTTAATAGATCCGTATAATAAGCACCAAAGGAGGAAACAGATATTTTATTACATGAATCAAACACTAAAGAGATTTGAACATGATACATCAAGATTGGCACAGCCAGGTAGAAAAAAAGAGACTTTGCAGCGTCCTCCCTGTGAAAAATAATAATAATACCGTGAGACTTGTTTGTTTTGGGATTACAATTGCAATTATAATATAATGTTAGAGAAGCATAGTTAAAGTGGACATTATATTTGCTGAAAAATTGACTAACTAGGGATAAATCCAAAAAGTATCGGACTCTGTCTACATTCATAAACAAACTTATCATATAGAACTATATAAGAATGTGAGAATTAGAATACTGAATAAAATTAGAGAGAGAAAAGACAGAAAAAAAAACCAAAAGAACAGAAATGAACTTACGCGATGGGTGATGGAAAGTGTGAGAAAATTAACGTCGTGAAAGTTAAGGAGCAGCAAAAAAGGAAGCAGTGTTGCAATCAAGGAGTGTAACCCCATCCTCTTCGACACAGAGACGAACCTCATGAAGAAGACGGTGATTTGTTGTGGCATTAAATTTGAAGGTTACCAATGCATCATGTCCTGTGGCATCCTTAACAGCCTTCAGTATTTCTGTTTCACCATGTGGAGTACTTCCATCTGGATTGATACCTAAAACAAAGCAAACCCACAAATTAATTTTATGTTAATCAAATCTAGATCTGATATCACTTATTAGCTAGGAACGAGGAGCAACCTCTTGGAAACAGATGGAAAGAACAAATTGGTGAATAATTAACTGTGAAAAGATATTATATCTTAACTCAAAACTTAAACACTTAGAGTTTTTGTGTCTTTCTACATTATTAAATATCTATTATTTTATTAAACTCAATTTTTAAATATCTATTATCTTATTACACTCAATTTTTTATCCTGCACATGACTTCACTCATCAATTCAAGTCTACTCATGCTTGAACATCATATAATAATTGGGAGTCAGGTGTTAGAGTTGTCATAGGAAGAGGATCTGATCAGATAGAGAACAATTGAGACAAATTAATTAAGGTGAGGATCATATATAAGCAAGTAGAAGCACCCATGAACTTTAGATTAAGATGTGGTGTCAAGCTCACTTATATACTCATACTAAAAGAAATTACCAGCTGCTTTTAATTTGGTCAGGATGGATTGAGCATGCGTTTTTGCGAGATCGATAGTTATTCTGAGATAATGTTGTGGTGCGAACTTGTTTGAAGAGCAGCTTCCATGCTTGTTCCACTCGTGTTCCCAGAATGGGATGCTTGTTGAAAGCTTTGAGCGTTCTGCAAGTCTGGCCAGTAATCAAGCAGATCTTGCTGGAACACCACAAGCTGCATGCAGTGATACACAACATAAACACGCTTGTATACATAGAAATAAAGCAATTTTTGAGAAAAAGAGAGTTTAATCAATTAATTACATCATTAACAGTGATAGGAGGAGCGGGTAGACAATTTTCAGGAGCTTTGTTAAAATTGAAATCAGGCCAAAGCCCATGAATGGTGAATTCTTGGTGTGTCGGAGGATTTGGGTCGCAAGGGATTCTCCTTGGAGGAGTATCGCAGAAAGCGTTCGGCCATCGCAACGTAAACACAAAAAAATCGAATCCTGGTTGGAGTTGGACGGCACTGAACTGTGCTGTGCTGGTATCGGTGTTGCGTGAAGACCAAACAAGGTTTGTGTTTTTGGTAGTGTTGTTGTTGAAGTGATACAAACACAACCAAGCCATTATCAGAGGAACAACAAACACCAACACTTGTTTAGAGATCCTCATGATTGATTGTGTTGCTCTTTCTGGGATATTTCGTGCTTGCTAGCTAGCTACGGTTTTATAGCCATCTTCAACATCATGTAGTGCCATTTTTTTTTTATTGATAGGGCAAGTTCCAAAGATCATAGAGACACGCAACATGACTCAAAATATATATATATATATATATTATATATCCATAACAAGATATTGATCATCACGTGGGTAACGTGATTCAAATCATTGCCTTTATTTATGGTGTATGAGTTGTAATTCTTATGAACTATAAATCAAACTTTGTTGCATGGCTTAAACAATGTATATTGTTTTACGAACTTGAATTTAGTTTAAATCTAAATTCATTTTAAATTATAATTTTTTTATAATTTTAAATTTCCTTTGCACACTAGTCTTTTGATAGTTTAATCACTTCAAGCATTTTATTTTCTTCATATTTTTATTATTGATACCTCTATGACTTTCATATTTTTTCATCTCTTGATGATTAAAAAATATAAATAAACTCATCATTTTTAATTTTCATTTTCATTTAAAATTTCTATTCATCTCTTTTCTTCATTTGAAATATTTTAAACTATGCAAACAAAAAATTTTAAATACATGAATGTTAAATGTGAGGTTTTAAATTCAAGATTTCAAATATAAAATCCCAATCCAAATCCCACAAATGTATGCCCATGCTTGGTTGGAATCCTAAACATCACACTCAGGCTCAAGCTAGGGAAGGTGGTGTTGCTAAGCAAAGGCAACCAGACATTGGCTTATATATTGTTTACTTAACCAAAAATCAAAATGTAAATTTAAGATTCCTCCGTTCATAGCTGGCCATCGTGGAAGCAGCAAACCGGCAACTTGGAATATATAATTTATAACGACAAAAACTGTAATCTTTATATAGAATATAAAAAGACTAAAGACTCGATCACTTAATTTTTTTTTTAAAAGTATAATATTGGGATTATCATAGTAACATAATTGTCAACTTATAAACACTTGTCTCCATATATGACAAATAAATGTTAATCCAGTTTATTATAAAGATTTGGCTCATAACTCACAAGATCATGACATTAAATCTCATGATCGGTGTAAAAACCTTAATGATGGATGATCTATTGGAAATGTGTGTTTTGAAAGTTGTAAATTATGGTATAAGAAGAGAAAATCACTTGAAGTAGCAGTGATATATTCGACAAGTTTTTTATTTATAAATTAACAAATTTCACTTGCAAATTCTTGTTTCCATGGTTGCAAATTATGGAATGAGAGTAGCCAATTTCTAGACAAATTCAGTATTGCATATTTGAACTAAATCCCTCATTTAGATACATAAAAGTCTATGAATTTGAACTTAATCCAAATCTAAATCCATATTTTTATAGCTTATTTATAACTATATTTCAAATTCCCTCTAGACTCTATTTATTTGAAATGTTAGCTATTTCAACCCTCTCATTTTCTTTACATTTTCATTAACATAATGGTACCTTTGTTACTCTCACTTCTGTTATCTTTCATCCTTGTCTCTCATTGATTAAAAAATAGAGGTAAATTCCTTATTCTTAATCTTTCATTTCTTCAAATCTTAGATCACCTTTCTTTTATCTTTAAATTTTTTTACATTATTCAAATAAAAAATTTTAAATATAAGATTTTAAATTTAAAATTCAATTTAAATCCACCAATCCTTTGGACCTTATTTTAGATATTTTCAAATCCTTTGGACCTTATTTAAATTTATTTCAATTTTTCATCATTTAATGCCATTCCCCATTGATACTTTAATGAGAAATGTTGAAAAAGATTTTAGGAAAAAATACTACTTCCTAGAAGTAAACAAAATATTAAAATAAACTGCTAGCACTACATCTCTTGATGTTTCTAATATTCGAATAACTTATGAAGACCAAATTTTTTAAACTGACAAGATTTGGAATAAATTACAATATAATGACCAAGACTCTCATTATTTATAAAAGAAAGAAGACCTGGACGTGGTCTCTTGATCTATATGATAATGAAAAGGTAAAATTTATATACTTAGCATCATATAACTTAATATACTGTTATCCAATTAAATATCAATTTTAATATTAATATGTTAATAATATAAGGTACAATAATTTAATTTTTTTTATATAATAAATAATCTATAAAAATAATGGAATAATAAAACTTTTAGTCCCTCAAGTTTGTCTCAATTTTTGATTTGGTCCTTCAAATTTAATTTTTATTAATTTGGTCTCTTATGTTTTCTTAAATTATCATACAAGTCCTTTAAGTTTTACAACACAAATTAACTATCAAGATAATCTAATGAGTAAGGTACATTGATGACTTGACATGTATATATAGCTAAATGAGAACAAATTAATCATACTTCTTTTCAATTATTTATATTGATGTCTAAATAATAAAGGCTAAATCGATAGCTAAAGTAAACTTCAAGGACTAAACTGATAAAAATTAAACTTGAAGAATCAAATAAAAAAATTGAGATACAAACTTGAGGAACTAACAATTGCATTATCTTGTCTTTGATTTAATTGAAACATATATTTGATGACCCATAAATTTGAAGCTTTCATGCACATTAAAACTTTCTTAGCCCATGTCAACAATCAATTTGGTGTTAGTATTCCCTCCATCTCAAATTATATGATACTTTTAAAGGAATTTTTTTATCTCAAAATGTAAAACACTATGGATAGATTGAGATTTCATTAAATATATCAATTTCAATTTCACCCTTTCTCTCTTTATAATTAATTCATGTTCCTTCTCTTTTTAATATATTAAATGATGGGTATTTTTGAAAGTTTATATTTTTATTTTGGAAAGATAAGGTTGTTAAGTGTATTTAATGAGGTTTCTTAGTACATGAGATTTTATCTAAAAATGTCTTATAATTTGAAACGAAGGGAGTATTAGATAAAAAGTGCTGTTGACTTTAGAATTTGTCAACTCTGCAATTAGAACCATTTTTAATGAAAGGGGAATAATGCATCAAACTTCTTGTCCCAATACACCTCAAAAAATTGGATAGTGGGAAAAAACCACAGATACTAGATGTGGCTAGTTGAAAATGCTTTAAACATGTATAGCTTCAAAATTTTGGAGAGAGGGCATTCAAACAGCAGCATATCTAATAAATAGGACTCTCTCTAGGATACTTATTTTTAAAACACCCTATGAATTGATTTATGGAAAGCAACCCTTTATAGAACATATGCGAGTGTTTGAGTGTTTAGCTTTTGCCACAAAATTACATGATATTGATAAATTAAATTATCAAATCAAGATAGTAGGTGACAAAACTCAGGGGCAGACCAACTACAACAAATTCAACCTTTTTCGTGTGATTATGAATTACCTTTTTCTGCTATAGACAAGAACAGAATAATGTGCAAGCTGCATCTCAACATCAAAATAATGTGCAACGTGAACAAACTCCTCACAAAAGACCTACAAGGGATATAAGATCCCCTAGATGCATGAATGAGAGACTATGAATGCATGAAACCTTCACACAATCAACCAGAGACAGAATCTGACTACCATGAAGACTCAGAGAGTGGAGGTGAAATAGCACATCAACATTAAGATTCAAAAACTGAATCTGATCTGTCCATAATAATGCTTGAACGGTAAACAGGGGAGTTGTAAAATATCCTATTTAAGATTATCTGAATTATTCACATGTTTCTCCCTCTTATAAAAAATTTATATCTTGTAATTATTCTATTTTTGAGCCTATAACTTTAGAAGAAGCAGTTAAAGAAAACAAGTGGATCAAAGCAATGAGACATTTGAGTTTCTGAGTGAGTTAACATGATATTGTAAGATAGAAACATAAAAATGATAAACTTATATAGTTAACTCAAGAGTTTGACATTAACGCTAGGAAGAAGATGGTTATATTGTCATATTTTTCAAGATATTGAGCAATAAAATAAAAAAATTATTTCTTTTTGTTGACTAAAGAGAAAAGAAAAATGTTTTCAGTCCATCAACAGGAATTCCGTGTTTGAATTGTCTACCAACGTACACAACGGTTAGGATAATATTGTTCAGGCACTGACCCGCTGAAACGGTGTAATGTAAAATGTATATCAATGAGTGTCTTAAAAAAATAATAGTGCAAGCAAGGTTGTTAAACTTATGAGTTTAAGTAAAGTCGTTGCAAGAATATAAACTCATAAGAGTTTACCTTTATTAACTATAGCCATTAAAATATGACTGTAATTTAATTTAAATATATTAAAAATATAAATCATTAAAATTAAACTCATTTACATTGATAAATTATGATATACAAGACATACAAATTTTAAAATAGGGAAACTTATTTTTGATATTTTTGTTTTCTTTTTGATTACTATTAATTTTTGCATTTCAAGTTTTTTTTTTCCCTTTGAACCAAGTCCTCTAACTACTATAAATTGAATTCTTCATAACATATACTCCCTCCATTCAAAAATGTAAGGCATTTTTAACCGAATCTCACTCTTCAATAAAATTCTTATCTACTTTCAAACTAACGCTATCTTTTTATATTTATCCCTATTAACTATCCTATAATAAATATAAAGTCATTATCACTAGGGGCACTTTTAAAAAAAAAATAATAATTACACCTCGAAAGACTAAAAATGCCTTACATTTTTGAATAGAAGGAGTACTTAACTTGCTCAACTTAAAAAAAAATTGACAAGCTTAACAAGTTTAACCAAGCTTGCATCTAATCCGAGTTTATAAATTAGTTGATATAATTTTGTAAGTTAGAAATGTAAAAATGATAAACTTGGAGGTAAACTCGTGACTTTAACTGAGATTGCATCTAGTTTGAGTTTATGAGTGGGTTGACACAATTTTATAAGCTCAAAATATAAAAATGTTAAAATCATAGAGTCAACTCGAGAGTTTGACAACTATGAATGCAAGGATTAATAATAATATATGCAATTAACAATATACAAATTGGTGCAAAGTTCACGGACTGAACA